TCTTTATTAATCGTAAGTTCTTCTTTTCTCAATTGTGTGTTGATGATGATGGCTTGCGTTTATACGAATTTTGATGTTGAATTCCATATGAGTAGCTAAATCCATACGCTAGGGATAGGGGATGATTGATTAGGTTCGTTGAATGATTGCTTGCTTTTGATTGTTCATGTCTACTCGAGTTGTGCTTATTCTAGGGTTAGTAGATTGATCACCTTTCTAACCTAATCAATAAACATGTAGAACCGAGAGGGGAGACGTTTGTCGACTTAGGCTCATTTAGGGTAGACTTGTTCGTAAAAGTATTGTCTATGAGTTGTTGGAATTGATAGTTGATCGTGTACGTTCACTCTCTTGTTACGAAGAGTTATTGAGAGTGAACCTCTGGACGAGAAACGATTCAAGTCCTTTAACCGAGCAATTGATTGCCGGTAGTTGTGTTAGAACCGAAAGCAATTATCCCCGATTCCCTAGCTCTTTAATCATTTGAGTTAATTCACTTTCTATTTAAGTCGCTTTTGATTTATTTTAAAGTCATTAGCTATAATTGAAACCAAAACCATTGAAATAGAGTGTTTAGGAATTTTTCTTTTCTTTTTCGTGATCAAATAATCGTACAATTGAATCCGGCTAACCTTCCTTGCGATACGACCCGGGGAACGAATCTTTCGATTCTACTCCGGTAAAAATACTCACAACAAAATTGGCGCCGTTGCCGGGGAGGGTTTAGGACTTTAATTGTGCGCCTATTCGTTTTATTTAAGTGTTTCTCTTCGTTTTATTTTGCTTAGTTTATTAGTTCTTGATTTTTAGTTCTTTGTTTTTCTTCTTTGTTTATCTGGTGCTCGTGATGGTTTCTTTGTCTTTGTGTATGCGTACCAGGAGTGGACGTGTACTATCTCCTATCGACAAACCGTTCAACGAGAGCCAGAGAGAGCTTCTTGACGAGCTTACTCTGGAATCGCACGAGGAAGACGAGCATTCTCCGAAGTCATCCGAAGGCAGCAACTTCGACATGGGTGAATGACAACAACAAGCTCCCCGTAATACCCTCCGAACCTTAGCCCAACCGGTTATCGGGCCAATCACTTCATGCATTCGTTTGCCGGATGTTGCACGAAATTACGAGCTCAAAATGATTCACTACAACCAGCTGCCGGCATTCCACGGGCTTCCCAGCGAGGACCCGCCCAACTTCATGTGGGAATTTTATAATCTCCTCAACCCTTTCCCTCTCAGTGGGCTTAATGACGAGCAGTTGAAGATGAGGTGCTTTCTTGAGACACCGAAGGACCGGGCCAAGGCCTGGTTCATGACGCTTGCACCGGGCTCTCTCACCACATGGACCGAGGTGTACTTAAAGTTTATTGGGAGGTACTACTCTCATCAAAAGACCCAGGAGCTTCGGTCACAGATCATCTCGTTTGCTCAATTACCGAATGAGTCTCTTCATGAGGCTTGGGAGCGGTTCAAGGATCTCTAGCGGCAGTGCCCCCATCACAACCTCTCTCCGGGGCTACTCATGAACTGCTTCTATGATTCCCTCCACCAGAACTTGCAGTATATGGTCGACAATGCGACAGGAGGTGATATCAGAGCAAGGACAGCTGAAGAGATGTTTGAAATTTTTTAGACGATGAGTACGAACTCGTCGCAGAAGAGCACTCGAGGCAAGAGAGCGATAGTGAATGAGGTCGGAATAGGCTATGACTTAGTGGCCCAACAGCTAGCTGAGCTTACTGAGCAGATGAGGTTGCTTACCGCACGAGGATCTCAACCGGTTAATACCTTTGCCGTTGACACATGTAGGGCATGTGGAGTCCCAGGGCATAGGTCCGAAGTATGCCCTGTTAGAGTAGTATACCCGGCGTTCCAATCAGATTGGACGTATTCTACTTGAAAATACAATCTATTGGAATTATATTAATTAAAAGGCATTACTTTATCTAAAGAGTAAGCATTTATCATATAATTGCACTTAAGATAAAATCACTAGATCACTTATGGTTATAAGATATGGTTGC